TGTTCTGCCCCTCGGCGATATCGAAACCGACCACTGTATGCAATGCAGGCAGTTCTTCGAGTGTTTTTTATTGTGCTAGGTTGCATTATTCCCGTCCGAGGCAAAAAGAGATGCCATTCACAAAGAATCCACCGGTTATTCTTGGACAACAATACCGGTCTCTCAAGATCTGAATAATTGATTACCATGAAAAAGAATTGTTCGCCAGAAAAATTTTTTGCGAGGAAAATCCTTTCCTCCTCAATTATCTTATTAGTCCAGTCATTTCAGTCAAAATTGACTGACTATCTTGGAATTTGCGATACCCGGCTATAAACTCGTATGAACCAGCATTTTGACATCCTAAAAGTTGTCTCAAAACCTACATGTATAGGGTCTACGTGAGTATTGAAATCTAAAGATTGATTTTTGCACATTTTTGGCAAATATCTCGTTTCCTATAACTTTTTCGCTATTCATATTCATAACGATTATTGTAGAGGATACAATTTTCCACAACTTTTGTTTAAAAAACTTTTTTATACGTTGACTCGTTTTCGAAATTGAGGGCGGAGAGCGCGCGGTTAGAGCATTCGGTAGTTCCGGTGAAAAACACGCCATATAAAGTTTATCCATTATTGATAAATACATAATCGTTACTAACTTTCATTTCTTATTATATTATTTATATTTACATTAATCAAATATCTATCTATTCAATAACACCAATAACCTAACCGATTCTGGAAATTGAAAAATAATTAAGGGACAAAAAAAAGGAAAAAAATCTTTTCAAAAGCATTTAAAAAACTGCCGAATTTGGATTAAGTTTCAGCAGCATTTGCAGAAGACAATTGTTCGGTTCGAAGATCATTTGGGAGTGGAATTCAAATATTTTTGGCAGTCTTCATCTTCCTCCTGAAGATGATCAATTGGTGATCGAAACACGTGTCGGGGTGTTGAAAATAATAGTTTGGTGTTGCGAAAAACTCCAGTAATATTCATTACTACACCAGATGCCTAAGTTAACTGGACTACATATCATGGACTAGACCAGGGGTCTCCAAAATACGGCCCGCGGGCCAAATCCGGCCCGCCAGTGTCATCAATCCGGCCCGCGACAGCCAATTATTTACTGGCATCAATCTGGCCTGCGACAGCCAATGACAACCTAATTGTTGTTACTATTGCTGTGATAAGTTGAAGAAGAAAACACAGAATGATAATTACTCGGTTTTATTTCCTTGCAAGGTAAAACTTAACGACAGAAATGATGACAAAGAAAACTTAACTCAAGTATCTAAGTTTAAGCATATTAATAACAAACAAATAATTGAGATGAATCACAGTAAAACAAAAACACTAATGAGATTTAAGTAATTGTAATTTTCCACCGACAATACTTTTCAGTTGTGGATCAATTTTACTTGTACCAATTATCAAAAGAAATTTAAGATGCTCATCGGTTAATTGAGATCTGTAAACATTCTTTGTGTACTTCATCTTGGAAAACGTTTTCTCACACAAGTAAGTAGTACCAAAAANTGCAATTATTACTGCCATCTCGAGGTGATCGGAATACACTAGCTAGAACCAGAACTTTCTCGAACCAACGCGGTAATTCCAAATATTTAATTACGCCTAATGCCACCTAGCGGGTAGCTGAAAAAGATAGTACATAGTACCACTACTCGCCACTAGATGTCGTTAAGTGTCGCAATACACAATAATAATTGAAATGCAAAAAAGCGTAAGTTTGCTTAGGTCACGCACTTTGCGACTATCCTAGTCTAGAAATATAGTTAAGGGCAGAAATTGGCCCTTGGAACGAACTGAAAAAATCATTATGGCCCGAAGGCTTCAAAGTTTGGAGACCTCTGGACTAGACTAAAAGACAATGTTGACTCTAAAAATTTCTCCTTCACGTCAGTTGAAATACATTTTTGAAAGTTGTGCAAATGTAAATAGTCCCCAAGTGTTAACTTTCGAACGGGGCAAAAAATCTGAGCCGGACAAAAATTTGTCTTAAAAAAGTACTTTTACTACTTTTTGCTAAAAAAATCCAATAGTGTGACATACTAAATATATTTCCGTTCTCTAATATACAATGACCGTCACTTCTTTGTATCTGAGGCTACCCTATATCAGAAATTAAAGGTGTCCTGCAAATCTATTCCGCGTAAAGCGGCCCTTACATGGTCAACATTATTATTGATGCCGTCTCAATATATTATTGGGCCGTCAATAAAAATCGAACTGCTTTTATTTTTGTAAATAATATTGCCATATTCTTTCATATTCAATATAGTGATCAAAATCGATATTGTTTCAATAATGTTGACCGTGCAAGGACCGCCTTATAATAATCAATTATGATTCCAATATTATGAATGGAATTATCTCATTATAATACGGACATCAGTTTTCTTGGTCTATTCTAATAAAGTTCACGAAGAGAACAAAAGATCTATTGAGTTCAAACGGAAACAATAGTCCATTTATCAATCGATCAAGAACTAGAAAGAAAACAATCTTTTCTCGAGAAATTCAGTCATTGATTAACTCAAATATTTACGTTAGAATAGTGTTTATTTTAATAAATCACCATCATATACACGGCGTCTTTGATATCGGTTATGGCTGTGATCGTAGATAATTTTTGTTAGGAGATTCGAATTATGACGTCATGTTTTGAGAACTGGCTGGTATATCGTGGTAAATGGTGTTAGGACTATGTGGGTGATAAATATCAATCTGGATTGATTTCCGATGAGGGTTATTAATGAGAGGTGAAAGATGTCAGAACGATAGTATACGATGAAGTATATTTTTTCATTAAGGTTATCAGGAGGATGACAGTTCTAATTATTGTTGACAAGCCCTACCCCTGACTGGAACAATTTTACAATGCATTTTATACAACACGAGTTACAGAAATCAATTAGTTATTGATGATGATTCTAGGTAAACAGGAAGATTTTAGGGAAATATAATCACAACTCAATATTGATTCTATGTGAATTTCAATCAATAAGTGAACAATTCTGCATAAAGGATTTATTGGTTTACTTTAGTTCAAAACCTCTTTTGTGTTTCGAAATTCTCGTTTTGAAATTTCTAGACGTTTTTCCTATATACACTTTTATATATGTGAGTATTTTGTGTGTATTATTTCCAATGTGAGGTTATACTTGGTTAATGACCTGCTTTTGTTAAATATGTGATGAACCATGTTCGGGTTAGAATAGTTGTTTATTATCAAACTATTTCCTTATTATAATCATTTTTCTCGAACGTCGGGATACTGATGGATCTGTGTATCATGCTATAGTAAGCTGTTGATTTATATTTAATAATAATATACTTTATTGTCATTAAGAATAAATGTGTGATGAGGATGATTGATTTCCGTTTAGTTTTCATTCTTTGATGCCTTCAAACTATTTTTCTGTGCCATAATTGCAGTTAAATTTTCGTTATAATTGTAGAGAGGGTTTCGAAAAATTAATATATTTTTTAAATCATTCAATTGCATGTTTGAATGTTGATTTTTAATTAATTAATTTTCGATATTGTCAAATATTTTCGATGTTGCAAGATTTTTATATTGGCCGAACGGAAAAAAACTTTCACCAAAGAATAAAAGAGCATAGGAGTAGTTTCTGCTAACCTTGTTTTCGACTGAAGGGATTCGATTGCCGTTGAGAATAACATTTTTCCTCAAGATTGTTTTCCATATGGTTTCAAATTGATAAGACAAAGCTAAAAATAAATCTACCTATGCTATGAATTATCGATGTCTTGCTTTTTTACTTGCGATTCCTAGCAATGGAAAGAGGTATCTACAATGGATATGTCACCAGATTTCTGATCTGTGCATATTTCCAGGCATTTTTATAACAACAACTCGGTTGTTTTCAATTAGGTAAGTATATCAGTGGACAATGTTCCAACACTGTAAAAATGTTATAAATATGCAGAAAATATATTTTGGTGAAGGTGAAGGTGGATATGGTGAATATGGTGAATAAAAAACATGAATCTAATTGCTGCCCAAACAGTGTTTGTTCCCTACAAACAGAAATTTTATTCTTCAAAAACTTCTGCATCACGTTTTTCAGGAACCATCTTGTATAGACAGTGTCATACATGATTCCTCAACACATCCCTATCAGCATAAAGTAACAACACTGATTATTGGACATTTCACTATCGGAAAAAGATTAACAAATTGCTGTTAACAACGGGTACATGGTGGATATTATCAACTCTATTACAAAAAACTACGAAAACAAGCCATGACCAGGTCCTTCCAACTTCAAGAAACAGTGTCATAGAACATTGAAATACTTTGGTTAAAACACAAATAATTCGCTCGTTTTTTGAAAAAGAGAGACTTGGACGCGGCTTACTGATGAAATAATGATTGAAGTAAATTTATCAAATATAATATAGACAAAACATCAGAGACGAAGAGATCCAGGGTATATAAATTGACTTCTGGTTGTCGTACAAAATTTTATATTGAACAAACGGAAAGAACCTTTTCCCAAAGAATGAAAGACATAATATGACATTTACAAACCATGAGTTCATTCCAGACTAAGAAGTATCACATTTGGAAGAGCAATGTTTAAAACTCAATCTTGTGGAATAGAATGAAAAAAATTCAATATTTCCCCTTTATCGAATGTTTTCTAATGTTGAAATCGGTAATTAGTTGATACGAGAACTCAGGTATTTTTTTTTAATTACATGTTCATTTGAATGAGTTTGTAAAACTTCTTTCCTAATGTTTAATTGATACTTACTTATACGTAAACTCAGCTGAAATTATCAGGCAATAAGAAGGTAGAAAGTCGCATAATTTAATTATATAAAGCACCAGTTAGATAGAACTAATGAAAACGCCTTAACAAGAAAAGCTATAGTAAAATAGTTGTTGCGGTTTTGTGGACTGTTCAATATAAATCTCACAATAAACTTATACAAAGCATCAAGTAAATATCTGTGACACATACCTTCACAGCTGAGTAGAGTGCACCGGTGTGAATCCACTGCCACAAAAACACCGCGAACATCCACTAAATCACTCGATTAACGCCGAAACAAAAACAAGAAAATATCAGTAAAATCATCCAATTAGTCCTCGCCAAACATAAATCCAAACGCGCCCCACATGTCTAACATGTGCAGGTCTGTTTTTCACCGCTTCAAAGGTAGCTTCGCGCGCGGTGCGACCGCCAGTCAAAAAGGGCGCAAAGGCAATGTTTTGTTTATGTCGTGCACGGAGCTCGTAGACCTTTCCGCCAGACGCGCTGCATGCTGCACAGCAACCGGTAACTATGCATGCGAGTGCGGGAGAAGAGAATATGCACACGCTCCCGATTGCTCGGAAAGAATACCCTTCGGTGTTGCCAAGTGTAGGTGATTTTCTTTGATTCGGGGAGGGAGCGGATTGAGCGATGATCAAAATATCTCTGGATTCATAATAATTACACAAGATAAATGATAAAAATGAGGGAATCTTCCAAAGAAAGGAAATAATCAATTTCAAAACAATAATTCCATACAAAGATGAGTACATCATGCAAGGAAGTTACTTTCAGACACTGAAACTGGAAGAAAAGCCCTCTCGAAACAGCTACTTTCGTATAAACATTGAAAAAAAAACTTTCCAAACAAATACTTTTATATGAATACTGAATTATACAAAAACATATATTTCTCTATTCAGTTCCAAATATTCGTTATGAAATTGAATCTGATTCAATTCATATATGGGAATCTTCCAAAGAATGGAACTATAAACTGTTTGAAATGAAATACGAAAATGTTAATCAATCAAATTTCAATAAGTATTTACAAAATTGTAAAAAAAAACATGCGATGGCCGGGAATCGAACCCGGATCAACTGCTTGGAAGGCAACTATGCTGACCATTACACCACCATCGCCGTTAGAAAACGTTTTAATCGGCGCCAACCCACCACGCCTCTATATGTGAGAGGACCAAGTATAGTTGACAATAACGATCCAAACAACAATTTTTCATCACTTGTCTCTGTTGTTTCATCTAATTATTTTATATAACTGAACATTTAATTTTTATTGATTCATTTTTATCTCAGATCATAATAATTTGTTTCCATCACAATTAATTTTATTATTTCATTCATTTTTATTTCAACTTTTTTTCATACATTTCAATTCGTTCAAAACAATTTCCTTAAACACAACCCCCTCGGTATATATAAAAATACTATTAGCCAACAGGTGGGTGAAAAACTTATGAAAATGAGGAAAATCTGTGGAACAATAATGAAGTTAGCATTCTTAGCCACGAAAACTTCTTCTTCTTTATTTTCCTCCGATATTATCGGGAGCATTCCTAAGAAAAAATTCTTGGTATTCTTTAAAACAATGTTTAAGAAATATCAGTTGAGGAATATATGAATTAACTTCAATAAGTTTATTAATATTTTGTTGAGTTGAATGAAGTTTCATCCTTTCCTACTGACGAATTGAGTTTTAGTGTTACTCCAAGGTATGCTGCGAACAAAATATGCATTTATGATCTGCTTAATTTTACCAAAAAAGTACTTGGCAAACTTAAGCTAGGTAGTTGTAGAATGAACCTCCTGAGAAAGTTATTTTTGTTTTTCTTTTGATAAAGTTGACTCATTTCCCGAGCATATACAAAGTAATACAAAAAATGAACGTCAGTGGCGTTGTGGCTTTCAAAATTCAACAAACCTCATATATAAGGTATTAGGCTAATGAATTATTTTTTATAATAAATATTATGAAACCTTGTTCACAAAATGATGGCTGAAATAAAAGATATACAGGTACTCTTTATATGAAAATTGACCGAAGGTATTCATTCTCAAATAAGCAAATATTTTAAAAAATCTAAGGTTTCAGTCAAGCGAATCAGCTTGATGAAATAAAAAAAAGTGCGATGGCCGGGAATCGAACCCGGATCAACTGCTTGGAAGGCAACTATGCTGACCATTACACCACCATCGCAGCTGTAGAAGTGAGGAAATATGAATAATATATTCATAACGAGTACTGATAATATAGGTGGACTTATACACAATCAATTAGCAATTAACAAATAACAAGTTTCAATTATCACTTAGCAAGGATCAAGTAACAAAAAACGATAGCATTTATGCATTCCTAATCAAAAAGTCACAATAAAATAATACGCAGGCGCTTGAGCTTCAGAGTTTACCGAAAAAAAAAGGAATCTGTAATATCGGCTATTATATATCTATAATACGCTTTTTACCACAATATCAATTTCCATTTCAGCGTTTATAGAAATAAATAACAAATTATTTAAGAAACGATGAAAATAAGCAGAATAGGGCCTACTATAAAAATCATTAGGTTAGGTTGACCTTCATTTTCACACTCTGTGTTCTGAAATTGGCCAATAGGCGATCATTTGCATACTAGTTGTATACTTCCAAAAAAGTCGGTACAATTAAAGTGAAAAAGTTAAAAATTTGGTCAAATTCCACTCGTCTACATCGATAATTGTTAATTTTCTGCATAAACGTGTCCATTGGAAAGCGAGGACTTCAACGTATTATATTACTTCCTAGTTGTTACTTGCACTTGCTAATCGATTGTGCCTTAATTCATCATAAATGTCGAGCTTTGCTTCAATGGAAAATTTAACTTTGAACGTTTCGCCCGTAACTACGATGGGCATCTTCAGCGGTGGTTGGCAGCAATGCGTTGCGACTTTTTTGTTAGTAGATTCATAACATAGTTAACAATTACGGAACTTTGTTGTAAGTTTTATTTCCTCTCTTCGCTTTGACTATGAGAATCATATGGCGCGAATAATTGTGAATTTTCGTTTTAAATATTTACTAACTATCCTAGACAACATATCAATGAGTGTAAACAAACACTTCAACTATTATTTGAATGTCTATAGCCTCACTGGATCACTTCGCGTACAGCACTGTAACTTCCACTTGACTGTGTACATACGCTCGAGGCTAGCGTTTATATATCGTAATCGAATACAGTAGAAATTTCGTCGAAGTTCCATTGAAATCGGTAGCATTATTCTCGCTGCTTCTAGAGCGGCACGTAACATCGTATATTCGCGCGCTCTTAACTACGTCACAATTTGTTTATGGCTACCAGTGGCGGCCGGCGTTATTTTCTTTAGGGCATAATTTACAACAATAATAATTTTGAGTTTTATCGAGTATTACTGTATATTTGAATGAGATAATGCGAGTGTTTTCTTTGAGAGCATGTTTGACTATAGCTAATTTGTCGGTTTGTTCCAGGCGACAATTTTTCTTGTGTCCACAGAGACACTTCTTTTCGTGGTTCCATCGGAACGATCCTGTACAAGAAGACCAGGTCGAAGCTATCTAGTATATCTCCAGGATAATAAAAAGGAAGAGGCAATGAACATTAATAAAATCTGGCTGCCTGTTCTTAACTATACACAAACAAGGTCAGGTAATCTAATTAAGAGAAATTAAGCTTCCGCCTACCTATTATAACATAAAACCGGAAACAAATTCCAGCATTGAAGTGTCTGATGCGTTGATAACAACTCTGGCAGTTTAACCATTACATCATCGCCTTTGATAATGTATACCTACCGCAGTGGTAGATGAAACTTCATGCAAGAATAAAGAAAAAATTGTATTCTTTGAATGTTATGTTATTCTATGACTTCTCACGTGTTTGTGTAAAAACACAGCCTGAATGACACACCAGTCCCACTTCGAAACTCTCTTGTAGCTCGTGTTCATCTATATTTTTCTAATTAACTGAAGTAATATTCAGAAAGTGGCTAGTAGCTTAGCAAGCGAGAATAAAAATTTTGTACGGTCCTATTCATCCGTGTTTTCATCGTTGTAGAAGGATATTCATGTACTTTTGTATGGCGACTCGAAACTCATTCAGAACCTGCACAATAGCTTCATAAGTGGTTGCAGTATGGAAAATACCCCCTTAAAAATCTCTCGAAACTTTCATTATAGCGGAAAGGGGAGCCGTCTGTTAGGTAGCTGTTTGAGTGGCAGGGAGTATGAAATATTTCACGTTTCTGGTTTTGTAGTCGAGTTCCTCTATTGTTGGCATTTTTTGAGAGATGTTCCATGTGAATAATTTATTAGGTATTTTGCAACAAGAGTATACTTATTGGGAAATTGATTATTTTGGAGAATATTTCAGATGTTGAAATATACTGTGGAATATAAGGAAAATAAAAATTTCGAAATATTTTGAAATAAAATTGAAACTGTCAGACTGTTCTCTTCTAAATTAATGTTGTCGCCTTCAGAATTGTCCTTATCGTATATTATGCACTTTTGATAGCGCTTCTTTCAATCTTCGACACACTTCAAAGTCGAACTTTGGAATAGCCTGCAGCTTTTCAGCGATGCGCTTTTAATGCAATCTGAACGTGCAAAACAACGACCCTTTAAGGTTCTGTTCATTTTTGGAAGTAGTAAAAAGTCACAGGGAGCTATGTCTGGCGAATATAGAGGCTGGAACATCATTAGAGTGTTGTGTGAGCAGGTGCATTATGATCATTCTGAAAATGTATGGGCTGAGTCAATCAATACGCCAACATCATCGGCAACTGCTCTGGGGTTCGATACTGTAGATTTTTGAACGTTCATAATATGGCAGGTTTCATAATATTTCAGAAAAATATTTCCAAAATGTATTAATTTTCCTCTTTTCAACATCGATGCCAATTCAAATTTGTGAACCAATTCGATAATTATATACGTGAAACTTTCATCTCTCAAAGTCTAGCTACACAAGGCATTCAATTCACACAACAGTACAAAATTATATTTCACTCTATTCATTCCGAATGGAAGCATTCATGAATTAATCACTAGAGAGTATTAATGAAAATAAGTGCAGTACAAATTATGCGGATATCAAAACTCTGCAATGCGGTGAAGAGGATTTTTGTTGAAAAAAACATTGGGAATGTCACGCGTAAAAAATGATGAAAATTTGACATATTTGATCTTTGATCTTTGCATCAAGACAATTGTAAGTTGATATTTTGAACGACATACAAAAGAACTCAAACAGATTACAATGTTTTTGTCAAAATTTTGTTTTGAAGTACTATATCGACTGGATTATGAATTACCATCATTAAATGCACTGCAAGAGAACTCCTATTGAATACTGTTAATAATGTTTCAATTTTGAAATGTTAGTTGCATACAATTCAGTAATAAACTTTCACTATATAGTCGACTAGTTGTTGCCGCGGCTTCGCCCGCGTAGAATTTGGTTTGTCACATTAAGTTTCGTGACGGACAATTTTAAACAAATAGGTAGTTGAAATATTTTTTATTAACCCAAAACTTCAGGTTTCCAACTTCAAAACTGACGAAGTTCAATAAAATCTTTGAACTCCCGTTTTCCCCCTTGGGGGTGGACATTCCTGATTCCCTTTATTGATGCTCATTTACGCTATACAAGTAACCTACCTGCATATTTCAATATTCTAGGTTCAGTAGCTTCGGCTGTACGTTAATATAAGAGCGAGCAACCGCAGTAACTAAAAAAATCTACCAATTGCGCTAAGTAATGAATAGCTTTGAGAATCGAATTATGTTACCTATAAAGAAATTCGCAAAACTAACACAACAGGTATTATTGTTGATTAAGTGTCATTGGACATTCAAATGTGAAGGTAGCACAAACTCTCAATTATTATGATTTTATAATCAGAAATTATAGAAGCGTCACAAATATAAAAGCTCTGAAGATATTGTTTTGCGTCTATGTAATGTCAAAAATGCAGCGGACTGTTCAAAAAATAAGGTGAATTTTCAAATTTCGCGGGCTACTTACATTCGATTAGAGGTTTTTCATGTTGGTACACTTGCCTCGAACATATGCTCACAGTTTCAGCTATTTACCATGTTAAGTTCTTTGCCGAGAAGCATAAAAGTTAGAAGTGTTTTGCGAGTTCAGCGATTTTCTACTATCAAAAAAAGTTGATCAGAGTCAGAAAAATGTTTGTAAGTGGCAAGGTCGAGAAGATGAGAATGACGACGCGACGCTCGCTCTGGAAATCAACAACTGATGAAAATGTTGTTCCCATACAATTTTTCGGAAATTTTGGGCATTAAGCGTGTGGCAAAGTTCGTTCGTTCAGAAATTATTGAATGACGTCAATAGCGATCCAGGTTTGCTTGAAAGGGTCATAACTGATGACGAATCATGGGTAGGTATATGTTATGACATCGAAACTAAAGTCCAATCGTCCCAATGGAAGATTCCAGGAGAGCCAAGGCAAAAAAAACACACGTCAAGTTCGATCGAACGTCAAGACAAAACAACACCGTAATCATGTCTCAGCCACCTTATTCACCAGATTTGGCCTTTTGTGTCTTTTTTCCGTTCCCAGGATTGAAGATACCCACGAAAGGACGGCGTTTTGTGACGATTGAGGACAGATAAAAACCGAATTGCCCCGAAAGTGCATATTAGTTCTGCTTGTAGGATAGGATATGACGCTGGCATAAGTGTATCATATTTGACGGGGACTACTTTGAAGGAGCCAAAAAAAAGTTAACGAATGAAAAAATTATTTTGAGTAGAATGAATATTCGCCTTATTTATTAAACAGATAGCGTGTGTGCTAAACAACTGAGCTCGGAATTTGTATTGACAGAATTATCGGCATTATTGCTTAATCTATTCGCGGGCAGATGGCGCTGTACGTAACTATCAATTATAGCTTGATCTATTCGTGGGCAGATGACGCTGTACGTAACTATCAATTATAGCTTGATCTATTCGCGGGCAGATGGCTCTGTACGTAACATCAATTATAGCTTGATCTATTGGCAGGCAGATGGCGCTGTACGTAACATTAATTATAGCTTTATCTATTCACGGGCAGATGGCGCTGTACGTAACCTCTGTGATAGGATGTTAAAAAATATATTTTAAGAATTATAAGGGTTAGTAAAATTTTGTACTACAAGTGAAAGATTTAGATATTTAAATATTTTCAATTAACCGTGATTCAGTACCGAAAAAAGTTTTAAAGGAAACGGAAGATACATTTTAAAATCTAATTCGATTATTTGAAAGCAAACTAGAATATGGATTTCAACAATGAAAACTTTATCGTAAATAATACACCTAAAAAATTCAGTTACTCAAATATTTAAAAAAATCAAAAATTAGAATTAAGGTGCTTGACATACATATAAAATCGAAAGATTGATTTGAAAAATGAAATTATTCACCGAAAAAATATCTTTAGTCCATTAATATTTTGAATGAAACTTCAAATCAAAACATCAAGACTGAATTGTTTTTTGAAATTATTACTGCAAATTTTCTCTTTACTTCGAAACAAATTTTACATCTGTCCGCCCTCTGTTGGAGACTAACTGTAAACATACATATCAAATCAAAACAAACACGAACGAAAAATAGTAGTATAATTGTGAAAAGAGCGTGGGCACTTTGTGCCATATTTTTTGTATATCAACAATAGATAGATACCTACATACTTTATTGTCCAAGAAAATACAATCTTATTGACAAAGCTTGTTAAAAATCTAGTATATATAGCACTTCAAAGAATAAAAGAAAAGAAACAACTCAAAAACACAAATACACAGAAACACAATTTGACCAAAACTAAGTTCACATATCTAATATATGAAATATAACAATAGAAAATAAAATTTAACAAAATGTAGACAAAATAGTTTGTATAGTCCCTTTCAAAAGATGTAAATAACAAATATATACAATTCGAACATAAGTTCACATGCCATGGCAATAAAATAAGATCTATCCCAGTATAAATTATAATTTAAAGTATAGGTATCACTAAAAACAACAAAAAAGAAACACCTATATTAAATCACAGCAATGTTCCATTGTAATATTTATCAAGAATGTAGTACGCTTTATTTGCAAGGGCATCTTTAACATGATTTCTGAACTTTTTATAGCTTTTTTTCTTCCTAATTTCGTAAGGTATGTGATTATACAGCTTTTTACTTTCATAAATCAAAGAATACTTTATCTGGCTTGTTTTTGGAACAGTTACATGTAGGGTTACGTAATTTGTAGGTTCCGGAGTTCCAACCATATTATATTTTTTGTAAATCAGGCAAACAGTTTCAAGTATGAAAATACAAGTAACAGTGAGAATTTTTTCTCTCAAAAATAATGGTCTGCATGACTCACGCACTCCCACTTCGCATAAGTATCCAACCGCTCGCCTTTGCAAAACAAACTAATAATATTAGTATTTTTCCTTCGTTATTGTTTTAAGGTTATTAAAAAAAAAATAACTTTTCAGTTCGATGTTATTTAAAAGCGTGTTTTTCAGTTTTTTGAAACCATATTTATTGTATTCTGCACTGCATTTCAAAGATTTCATTATGTAGTAGGTTCTAAGCCCATCGTACCTTATTTCACATTCTTCTCTTGAATGATCACACAAGATCAGTAAATTATTATTATTATTATGGCATGAAACATTGTTACGGTTCCGGAATTTAATTCAATCCAATAATTGAACTAAATATCGCGGGGTTAGCACCATGAAATTTGCGGCTAACGCCTAATCCTTTCACCGAGTGGGTTCGGTCTAGATATACGTACTTAGAACATTTAAATCGTTCCCAAGGTCATCAAGGGTGAAAAATCGAAATACGGAATCGTAATTGTACCTACAATGATTTACATATTTTATGGAAGCGGTAGGTTTTACGATGAAGGTCGTTCTTTGAATCCTATATATATCATAAGAACTGATACTGCAGTATCAGTTATTTGTTGACTTGATTCAAGAAAACAACAAAACCAACATGAACTCCATGGTAAGTCATTAATCACATTATACAGTGCTCCACTTCGATGACAGAATTTTTTCACATTAAATATAAAGCAGCGATCACTAGATTTTCACATGTCTACCAAAAATATTCGACTAGAGCTATATTCCAATTCATTCGTTTAATTTTCTGATTGATTTGGTCGTTATTTGATGAAGATCCATAGTAATTATTCAAATCATTCAAAATAATGATTGCTCCCTTTCAATATGTTCATTTCTCATTTTATATTCATTTTGAAATCGCACAGTTGAAAAGAAAATGCATGGAATAAACTTTAGTAAAGAATAAAATAAAGCTGCGTAACAAAAGTTATTCATATTGTCTACATCTACATGAATAATTTTTAATAGTGATTTGACTGTATGAATGACATTTGAGAGATTGATAGTATTTGAAAAACTGTTATGGCTTTCAGTTTGCCAATTTTCATCTAGAGATGAGTCATACAAAAGAAATACTCAAAGAATGTGCTTGATCTATAGTTACGTAACAGTCACTGAGATACATACCTATGAGATTATTTTGAAATTTCCTGATAAAAAAACAAAAATGGAATTTCGTTTTTTGAAAACTATACAAAATATTCGGCAAATCAACAGTTACACTCTGTCGGAGAATTGAAAATTTGTGTTCACTTCAAATCTCAATGAAATTTGATTGAAAGAGACTTTGGTGTGGAGTTTATGTTTTTCTTTTTTACTGCATTTTGTAGATTTTCGTGAATAATAAACCAGTTTCATATTTATTAATGGATATCAAATTGTTAGTTCACTAAGAGATTGTTTCACATTGATTTTGTTCCTATTTCAGAGAACAATATCAAAAATATATCCATTCAAATGGAGCCATTACTAAATGTCATAACGATGTTCGGAAAAATGCTTTTATTCATCTTCACTTGTTCAGTAACATATATAGTAAATAAAAAAAAAGGGAAGTCTACAAATAATAATGAAAAAAATATTCAAGATAATATATCAAAAATTAATGCTTCTCTCACACAATTATTGGAAAAAGAGACTACTATACCACTTTGGATGTAGAATTTCAAAGAATTTTTGTTTGCTTATTGAATGGTATAACAATGATTCATAAAAATTGAAACAGACATTTCTACGAAAAAACGAAAACAACCCAGAATAATTTTTCGAAATATTACTTACACTGTTGTTGAAAATTTTTCATACTAGTTCAAAACTGAAACCAGTTAGTTTGAACATAATAGTCACATACAATTTCTTCTTATTACGCTTCATCTCAGCCTCGTTGATGAATTCTCCGATGTTAAAAAAGTGTGAGCTCCTGAGTTTATATTCAATGAAGTTCAGTTTTCAGAAAGACTTAAAGTTATCTATTGAAAATTGTTTACTATAGTCTTGAACGACAGTTACTCATAATAAAAAAAGAATTGTAATACACACAGGAGTATGATTCAAAAACATTTCTCCCTCACACCAGAACTGCAATATTCTGTCTGAAATACACTTTACCAACCAAATTGAATATTTCAGATGATCTATAAGGTTTCATTATCTTTTGCTGTGGTTTTTTTCTAGATAAATCAATCTAAACAATAAACTATTGATATTCCTTCATTTCTAGATTGCCTTCGCTGTTTTGGCTATTGCCGTTACCGCCTCCGCCTCTCACATTGGCCTTGGACTAGGTTATGGTGGTCTTGGCCATGGAGGAATCGCAGTAGCTGGTCTTGGAGGTCTTGGAGGACATGGTGCCGGAGTCATCAACCCATGGGCATTGAGCCCTGTAGGACCTTCTGGTGTCGTCACTGGTGCTGGAGCATCTGGACCTTCTGGAGTAGTCACTGGTGCAGGAGCTGTTGGACCCTCTGGAGTAGTTAACGGGCACGGAGCTGTAGGACCCACCGGTCCCAATGGTGCAGGTGCCATCGCCATTGCTCCAGCAGCTTTGGGACTCGGTCTTGGACATGGTTTGGGTCTTGGACATGGATTAGGTCTTGGATATGGTCATGGTGGTTTGGGAATCCATGGTTGAATACATGAAAGACTTTAATTTATTTAAATTATTCTGTATATGGAAATGGCAAAATAAATTATTTCTATCACAAAATAGATTTCGTTTTGTATTAATTATATGTAATATAACAACAGAAAATATTGCTTTTTGGCGGGTCAAACAGAATTATTACCACAAGGATTTTCAAACTCTCAATATTATGATGAGATCACATATAATGCCCATCTGGATGTCCGACCAATATAAAGGCATGGATATAATCCAATATATAAAATTGTCGACAGTTAAAATTGTATCTTCGTGACCGAACAACATATGATATCTCTATATTCCAGTTACAAAACTATGCAGCAACTTGTCATTTTTTCTGACAATATACAATGTGAATAAAATCATGTTTTCAAACGTTGACGATTCTTGATCAAAATCACTTCTTGTTGCAGTATCTTGACGAGTGTTTATCTGAAATTCCAGTAGAAAAAGTGAGATTTTTGAAGCTATAGTAACCAATCCCTTCAAAAACTAATTTTGATGGCAAGCGGAAATTGTAAGACTGTTACATTGTTCCATTCTAAAAAAAATAAAAAAATTCATTGTGCCGAGTCAGAGTCATACTCTGGGACCACTCAGATACCAGGTTTCGAGATACCGGGCTCTGGCGTGATGTACTTTCTTCCTCTAACTACAAGTGTACTCTTTCTGGACTATGAAGTAACTAAATAATCCAACACTGAATAAAGGGGAAAGCTTCTTAGTTCTTCAACTCCTCATCCTGTTAACAAATTTGACTTGTCTTTACTAACTAACGCCACGCCTGAAGAAGCCATTGTATGACGAAACATATGTTACGTTTTTGTAAAACTGTTTAGTGGAAATCCCACGATGACGTGTTTTTGTTCAGGATAAAATAAAAGTTTATAATTCATCTACGTTATTTTCTTTTTGTTCCATTTAAACATAATAAACAAAATTCCTTCAGTGCTTTTGTTATTTTTCTTTCAATCATGAAGACGCGGGAGATGTTTCTCCCATTGATGAGGTAGATAATCAAAATTATAGAGCTTTAACGTGTTTTGGAGAACCAACAGAAAAAGTGGCTTCATTTTTGAGGAATCGAGGTATTAAAGTTGCATATAGAACAAGTAACACATTGGGAAAGTTAGAATAAAGACAAAACATCCAAATTCGAGAAATCAGGAGTATATAAATTAAAGTGTGGAACGTGCACTAAGGTATATATTGGTCAAACTGGCAGGACATTTAGGAATCGAATCCAGGAACATCATACGAGCTATGTAAATAAGAAAACAAATTCACCATATTCAAATCATCTTCTAGAAGAAACTCACATCTTTAATGAAGAGTTCAAAATTTTGCACATAGAAAATAAAGGTTTGAACTGAATCATTTGGAAGCAATGAAAATTAATAAACTCAAAAATTCCAACTAGATTCGAATAGATCACCATTATTGAACTTGTTTTCTTAAAAACCGAGAAAGAATTATTATTGATGTAGAAGTGAGGCAATATGCTTTAGGTAATCATAATTGAACAGGTACGTCATGTAGAGGTTCAGGTAATTTTATGAAAGTAGTCTCAATTATGGTTACCTGTAGTATATAAATAGTAATGTAAGGATAATTTGATGTACAAATCACTTGAGAAAGCTAATGTCTTAGTGTAACATGTTGTGATATATTTTTTCAAATAAAGTTTGTGGAGATCAAATCGTTGAGGTGTAGTTTTTGAAATTACTATGGATCTTCATCAAATAACGCCCGAATCAATCAGAAAAAACAACATGATAAAGTTTGAGGTCTCAAATTCTATAGTAATACTGTAAAGAGTAAATTTACAGTAATAATTTCAAAAAACAATTCAGTCTTGATGTTTTGATTTGAAGTTTCATTCAAAATATTAATGGACTAAAAATATTTTTTCAGTGAATGATTTTATTTTTCAAATCAATCTTTTAATTTGATATGTATGTCAAGCACCTTAATTCTAATTTTTAGATTTTTTGAAATGTTTGAGTAACTGAATCTTTTAGGTGTACAATTTACGATAAAATTTTCATTGTTAAAATCCATATTCTCGTTTGCTTACAAATAATCGAATTAGATTTTAAAATGTATCTTCCGTTTCGTTCAAAACTTTTTTCTGTACTGAATCACAGGTAATTGTAAATATTTAAATATTTCATCTGTAGTGAAAAATTTATAACACTTATAATTCTTAAAATATGTTTTTTATTTTGATTTTCTTTTGAACAACCTATCAAGGAGGTTACATATAGCGGCATCTTCCCGCGAATAGCTCAAGCAATAATTGATAGTTTCGTAGAGCGCCATCTACCCGCAAACAGATCAAGCAATAATTGATAGTTCGTACAGCGCCATCTGTCCGCGAATAGATCAAGAAATATCAATGAGGTTACGTACAGCGCTATCTGCCCGCGAATAGATCAAGCTATAATGGCGATAATTCTGTCAATACAGAACCCGAGCTTGAGAGTTACAAACAAACATACTTACAAACAAACATACATACATACATACATACATACAAACATACATACAGGTGAAGCTTACATAAAGCGTGTAAAAATAGCGCCATTTGAATCAGTGCACTCACTTTTGCTATCGTAGTACAAGTCGTTCAATTTTGTCAGCATATAAACTGTGTGATCAGGATTAGATGAAGTCGACAAAGGCCGTTTTTGCCTGGTCCTGAGTAGCGAAGGTTCTACCCGTGAGAAAGTGCTTGAGAAGATGATAGTCAGTTGGTGGAGGGTCTGGGGAGTATGGTGGGTGCGGCATAACTTCAACGCCTAATTCGTTTAATTTTTGGACGGTGATTTGTGAAACGCGGGGGGGCGTTGTCGTGGAGTAATTTGGGATCTCTTCTGTTCACCAATGCCGGCTGATGCTGACACAATATTCGGTATATTCCGCTGATTTCCTCTGCTCTGATGATTTGGCCCGTTTGTAGAAAGTTATAGTGAATCACATCAGACGCTGACCAACATACAGTAATCTGGGTAGCTCATCGGTGTCCAACTACTGTCCTGAACGTCCCATGTTGTCGTAGAGTATTCACTTTTCATCACAGAGCATAAAAAGGATAGTTTTGGATGCGCAAAAGCAAGAAAAACAGATCTTTGAACGTGACAATTTCTGTCAATCGTTCAAATCGTGGGACACCCACTTTTCAAGCTATTTGACTTTTCTAATACGTTTAAAACCATCAAAAACGCAAAGGAGCGGAAGCCCAGTTCTTTCGCCATCTCACGCACCGTTTATGATGGGTCAGTCTCCACCAGGGTCCTTGAATCCTCGTCCTGGATTGCTGTAGGTCGACCACTTCTAGGCTCATTTTCGAGGCTGAAATGTCCGGAATGAAATTTTGCAAACATTAACAGTGCGTTCATTGGTACCAACATTAACAAATGCCTGGTTGATTTTTCGGGCTGTTTGAGCAGCGCTTTGGTTCAATTTGAATGCGTAAAGAAAACTTGCCCGAAAATCTAACGACTTCAGGTAGTAATAAGCTGAAAAGAGGCAAAATTTGAAATTTGAAAAAAAAAGAATGGGATCAATGTATAGAGTACAAAATTCTTTATCGTTCAATATAAACCACGACACAGAAGAATAAATATTTGTTGAGATATGAAGCTACCAAAAATACATCACATTATACTGGACAAAACTTTTGAAGCAGCTTAATAAAAGTTTATAAAAGGTGGCAATGCTCTTAATTCTATGTTAGTAGGGTTGGTTGGTTCCTTCTTAGTCCTTCGGCATTGTGATTCCTGTTCCTGATGGCGTGGTATGGTTGTATAGGTATTGCTTTTAGGATTACAACATACTCATCTTGCATTTCAACTTATATGTAAGAAACCCCTGCCAATTAATATATCAGCCCACAATCAGAAGTTTTGCAGACTGAAAAATACGTGAGTATTATTCGAGATGACTCAAAAATTAATAAATATGACAAATTACTGTCTGGACTCTAGCGATTTATATTACGCAGTAACTTTCCAGGGTGAATTTTTCAATTTTCCTTTCCTTCAACAGATTCCCTTTTGGTTGAACTTTGTTCATTTTCCAAATTGTGGAAAGGTAAATCCCAAAAAAAAATAGTTACAAAGAATGAAATATGCATTTTTTTCAAAACAAAATGTTTTTTGAATTCTTACAGAAAGTACTTTTTTTTGAATTAGTAGAGAAAGTTTAAACTGCAGACAACAACTAAATCAAAACAGGGAACTTTTTCAATGGAAGTATTTGGTATGCTAACAGCTCCTTCAATTTGCAAAGAAATAAGAAAGAGTGATGCTTCTGTAAAATGTACTGATATAATTTTTTGACATAAGTGTAATCGTAGGTATATTCTAGCCAATTGGTAAGTAATCGTCACCAAAGCAATATTCGTTTCACCGAGTTAAAAACACATATGAGTGACTCATAAATTGTTAATGTATGTAATTCAATTTTTTGCTAAACTCATTATTTTTATGAAGAAAATCAACAGTTATTGCAATTCATGCATTTCATTAAGACCGATTCGACCAACAATAAACATATTCCCACTGTTAGCAACACGGAATTAAAAGCTAACGCCCAATCCTTTCACTGAATGGGTACCGCTCAGAGTTCACAAATGGTCATGAGACATTTTAAATCGTTCTATCTCAAGGGTGAAAAAATCGAAATACACTTGGTAATTGAACCACGATTATTCATAGGCTTTATTCTATACCGGTATACTAGCGGTAGTTTTTTTCAAATGGCCATTCCGTATCTTGGGGAAGGTCGTCTACTAAGAACTATAAATATCGTCGGAACTACAGAAACAGTATCAGTTCAATATTGACCAGATCTGAGAAAACATCAATATCAACATGAACTCAATGGTAAGACAGTCATCATATTTCACGACCCATTCACTATCAAAATTTGCAACAAATTCGATCAGCGAATTTGAATTTCCTCTACTCAAATCAGAAATTTCACTACTAAACCACTACAAAATTCAATCAAGGGTCTAGATTCGAATTGAAAGGCAAGATCTTCATTTCAAACTTGTTTTCTATTTTTATGTAACTTCAGTCACATTTTTGAATATAACGCACATTAAATATTGGCATGTTCCTTCAAATATTTACGAAAAATTCAATCTGAATACTTGGAGCTGGTGGTCCAAATTTTCCATATTGTTGCGAGAGTACATGAAGCTATTATAAATTGATTTTAATGAATCTACCCAGTCCATACTTGTTCAGAATTACCAATATCAAAGACTCATTTCTGTTTTATCAACAAGTTCTTTAGGGAACTCTCATTTGTGTTGTTTCTGGTTACCTTTATTGAGTCATTAGGGAAATACACTTCTTTATTATCCCTCTTCATATATCTAATAAATCCATTTATTTTTACAAAAAGAAAATACATTTATGAACTGTCCTGATATTGAATATATACATATGAATAACTCATTAACGAAGTGAAGAAATAGTTTTCTATTTACAATCTATATGATATTATTTTACTGAAGACCTAATACTTCTGTTCAAGAAGTTTTCATATTTTCCATGCATATTTATTTGTGTTGACATAAAGCTATTTGAATTCGTTAGTTTGCTACTTTCGACCTGAAAAATATTTCAGCTTCTGAATATTTCATTTCGAAGCTGATGTCCGCGCCTTTATTCGCATGGAGCTCAGTTTCTGAGTTTTCCCCAGAAGACCTACAAGGTTGCATCATCTTCTGATCTGTATCATATGTTTTTTTTGCTGAATAAATCAATCAAAACAACTAATTTTTGATATATCTTCATTTCTAGATTGCCTTCGCTGTTTTGGCTCTTGCCGTTACCGCCTCTGCCTCCCACATTGGTCTTGGACTAGGTGGACTAGGTCTTGGTGGTCTTGGTCACGGAGGAATCGCAGTAGCTGGTCTTGGAGGTCTTGGAGGACATGGTGCCGGAGTCATCAACCCATGGGCATTGAGCCCTGTAGGACCTTCTGGTGTCGTCACTGGTGCTGGAGCATCTGGACCTTCTGGAGTAGTCACTGGTGCAGGAGCTGTTGGACCCTCTGGAGTAGTTAATGGTCACGGAGCTGTAGGACCCACCGGACCCAACGGAGCTGGAGCCATCGCTATTGCCCCAGCAGCTTTGGGACTCGGTCTTGGACATGGCTTGGGTCTTGGACATGGTTTAGGTCTTGGATATGGTCATGGTGGTTTGGGAATCCATGGTTAGGTACATACACGTATTAACTTATTCAAATTATCAGAAAGAAAGAACTGGCGAAAATAAAGAACTGTACATCGAAATGTAGTTTTGTTTAACAAATACCTAAGTGCGTTGATGATGATCAACAAACTCAAATGGCTTCATTTCCACAGAATTTAATATTTATGGAAAATATGAAAACTTCTTGAGCTACTCTTCAGTAAGTACTTTTTTTTCTGATGATTGATGACTACAAGTTACTTCAGGATGATGCAAACTGCGTAGGAAAAAAATCGCATGTGAACACACAGAAATCTAATATTTGTAGAATTACATTGAAAACCAAATTTGTGAATTATATCTTTCTTAAGTTTCATCCATCTTTTGGATGGATGAAACTTAAGATTTTGGTATAGAATTTGATTCAATAGTAAGCATTTTAACTGGTGTATATATAAGCGAAGAGACTAGAATTGATTTTCAGAAACTGTAAATTTGTCAACTTTGGCGAAAGTTTTATTGTTCTATTCAAGTCGTATGTAAAACCACGATTCACGAGTATGGCTTGCACATCTGATCTCCAAAAAAGGCTTGTACCCTCAACAAGAAGAAATATTTTAATTAAATTTCAAACTCATTCTTTATGTGTGAATGTCAACCATTTGTGTGATACAACATTCTCATTTTCAGCAAAAATTAGACTTTTTCAGAAATAAATGAAGGCTGATATCAGATATATGACCATTGCTTACTTTCATTTACAAATATATATTCCTCAAAAATTTTTCTATTGCCATTTTGAAACAGATATGAAAGGGGTACATTTTTTGGAGAGGGTAATTTTTTTTGGAACAGAAATGTTGTGTTTTATACGCAGTTTCAATAATATATGTTGATTTTGAGTTTAATAATTGCATAAGCTGTCCTGTAGGTACTGACAATTATGGTTTTTTTATTCAAGATCAAATAACTCCGGTTACATTTATTGTAGCATGATTCATAGTTCAAATTTATACTTTTCATTAAAATTCACCGCAATATACGTAGCGAAAGTACATGTAGGTACCCCCTTCACAAATTATCTTTCAACTGTTCAAGGTTAATCGGATAAAAACGGGATTGAAAGTGTTTCGATATGGGTCGGTGGAAGGACTTGGTTAAGCTCAGCCAGCCAGCTGCCAGCAAGAGAACTGTCAACAACTAAATGATTTCTTATTGAAAAAATATATGATAAAAATGATTTGTCAATACCCAGATCAGTGAGCATTCCCATAGGAAGTATGTTTATTGTTACTTTCCCAGCAAAATAGCAGATTTATATTATAATTCCTGATTCCCGTTCTTGATGCTTATTAGGCTGTACAAAGAACCTACCTGTATATTTGTGATGCATTGTTTGGAACCTTTGGTGTAGTAACGAACAGTACTGGAGTTTTTTCCCAACACCAAACCGTTATTTCAACACCTCGACACGTGTTTCGATCACCAAGTGATCATCTTCAAGAGAAAGATTAATCTTCGTCTTAAAGGGTTATTGTGCCTCTTTTGTCGTCAGTTGGACTACGTAGGATTCGTAGAAATGACAACATAGGTGATCATGTGCATCTGATTGAAAGTATATTTCTGTTTAATAACAGTTAGGTACTCTTACCGAAAAAAAGAAACCATGAGCACCTTTCTTTCACACTGAAGTACCTCTTCTGAATATGGAATTTTTAAATTTGATATTCCCTAATCTTTGTCTGTATTGCTATCATTTATCTTACAATCTAAACCAAGATGATTTCATTCTCAGTAGTTTCCAAATATTCAGTAAAATTTTTTCTCGCAGAATATCACAAAAAACCCTTTGCATGGAGGTACTCAAGAAATACCTTTTATATATGAATTCACCTTCACTTTTGAAAACATAAAATAATTGTTCTCAAGCACACAAGGAAAGATTTCATTTAGCTAACTCCCTCCAAATACCTTCTCATTTCTTCTGTTAACCTTGGAAATTATCAATGACGGAAATCCGCAACGCATGTTATACATATTTCATAATGAACATAACTGTAGCTAATGACCCACATAATAATTACACAAGTGTAATTAAAAATCGAAGAACTAATTCATATTGCATTGAATAAGCTGAATGAACAATCATAGTTGAAAATAAAATGCTTTATTATATACAGTTATTTATTTTATAACTTTGCAGATCATTCCAATAAATAAATATGCTCGTATTTTCATATCTAACCATGAATTCCCAAACCACCATGACCCAAACCATGTCCTCCCCAGCCCAAACCTAAAGCTGCTGGGCCAGCTACAACGACAGCACCTGCACCATTGGGTCCAGTAGGCCCTACAGCTCCGTGACCATTTACAACTCCAGCGGGTCCAACTGCACCAGCACCGGTAACTACTCCAGAAGGTCCAGAGGCTCCAGCACCAGTGACGACACCAGAAGGTCCTACAGGGCTCAAAGCCCAAGGGTTGACAACTCCGGCACCGTGTCCTCCATGTCCAAGACCGAGTCCCAAAGCTGCTGGAGCAATAGCGACGGCACCTGCACCATTGGGTCCAGTAGGCCCTACAGCTCCATGACCATTAACTACTCCAGAGGGCCCAACAGCACCAGCACCGGTTACTACTCCAGAAGGTCCAGAGGCTCCAGCACCAGTGACGACACCAGAAGGTCCTACGGGGCTCAAAGCCCATGGGTTGACGACTCCGGCACCATGTCCAGCAAGACCTCCATAACCAAGACCTAATCCACCTAGTCCAAGACCAATGTGGGAGGCAGATGCGGTAACAGCAAGAGCCAAAATAGCAAGAGCGACCTGCGAAATAGGAGAATATGGTACATCCATTTGAAACACTCGAAAGAGATGCCTTTTAAAAAATGGAAAGGGGATTATGAAGAGTTCGAGTGAAATGTTTTCTTTGTTCTAGATGTGGTACTTGAGTCGAAGTGAGGAAAACGTCTTTTTAGTGAACAGTAAAAATGAATTCCCTGGATTCAGAAGTGGTTATTTGCTTTTATTGTTGAGTTGTATAACATTTTATAATAACTTTTGAAATGTCGCTATTTATTTTTACTAAAGCCTAATATGTAAATAAATAATTGTTCTTCAAATGGTTCAAACTATGAAGTGCTTTGAAAGATATTTGTATCGAATATTCTCAAAATGGATGCAAGAGAATCAGTTGGATTTCCAAAAGAGAAAAAAGTATTTTCAAAATTCATTTGTAAGGGTAAGTAACACAGTTCTTGGTCCTGGAAAATTATCGGAAAAACCACATTTATGGAAATATGTCTAATATTGTCATAAATTACCATTTACATATATAATGTCAGCTATTATATCGTTAATATTGTTTGGAAAAGAAAAATTTAGGCTTTCTACTTCATACAGAAAATGTAGGAAACTTACAAAAAAAAAAAGAAAGCAATTAATTTCAAAATGAACTATTCACAAAAGTGTGTAGACTTTGCATAGCCTTCCCGAAACTGCTACTTTCATATAGACATTGATCATTTAACATTGATATATTTAAAATCGAGGCATTCATCAGAAATTCCTTTATATTTTCTGCCCACAACAATTGAACAAAAATATTCATTTTGGCGAAATAATTGATATCTTACCAAGGTATTCATGGTGGTTTAGAAGTTCTCCTAGATCCAGTTAGAAATGAACTGATATTCTTGCATTTGAGTCGATGCTATAAATAGCTACATACCTACCGAACGACCTTCCTTACAATACGGATCGCCCGTTTCAAAAATTACTGTTTCTATGGAATATTCAGATAATAATCGCTTCACAATTACGAAATATGCCAACACTCTTGCGACCCTCAGTATGGTGCAATTGCTAAGTATGATATATAGAGCAAGGTGTAATTCAATGCAGTCAAATTTCGTATTTCTTGAGCACTTACAAACAATTTCCAATAAATCCTTTAATATTTATATAATTTGTGTTCAATGATATCAATTGTTTGTTGAATCCAGCAAGATTTTTTTTAATTATGTATTGAAGTACAAACAAAAAAGATCCTATGACTTTTTACGATAAAGTATATATTTTTGGAGTTACGAGTTTTTGATGATTCGAAAAATCTGATAGATGGGTATTTTTGACCCATAAAAATATATGAAAAAAAAATATATAAAAAAAAATTCTCATTTCCTTATACAATAGTTAATGATACCCCCATTTGAAATTTGGAACATTTTCATTGTTTATACCTGTTTCTTGATTGTTTATTACGCGCGCTCACCAGTTTGCATCCCTTACCGTCTCTCTCTGACTTATACGCTGCATCGGCCTCCCTGCGTCCAGAATCATCATTTATCATTATTCATAAAAACTACTAACTTCATCAATATTTTAAAAGATAGCAATAGTTTCAAAAATATTTGTTGAAAGTGGTTAACAATGTTCCAGGATTAATTATATCAATTAATCTTTTGAATAGCAGTTTTCAAATCTTCATCATAAAAAACAATCAAGATGTCATCTGCAAAGAGGTTCATAAAGTCACGGCTCATGAAAATATCTACGTCGTTTGAATACAAATTAAAAAGAAGTGGCCCGAGGAGGCTACCTTGTGGCACACCAATATCAACATGAATTGCAGTTGAGATAAAATTGTCGATTTTCACTTTTTGCTTTATATTGAATAGAAAGTTCGTTAACAAATTCGAAACGCCAGTTTGGATGAGGGAATATTTCGATCTACAGTTTTGAGCGCCCTCTTTAAGTCGAGAAACAAAACAATCACATATTTGTCATCATTTATCTCATTTTTAATCTTACATAAGGTTAGCTATTTCAGAAGAATGTTTCTTCCTGAAGCCTGATTCAGTACTAATTAGAATTTCTTCGTTGTCTACATAATCCAGCAAATGATTCTAAACTGCAAATTCTAAGACTTTTTCAAACAGAGAGAGAGTATTAAAAGGTTGAAATTCTTTCACATCAGTTGTGTTATTCACTTTATGAATTACAATTGTAGTGCTCACTGTTAATGCATCTGGAATTATAGAAGTTCCAAGTTTGAGAAAGTTTGTTCTAATGTCTGTCTGTTGTGGTATTAGTCAGGGAAATAGTTGTTTTCCGGTAGGCATTTGTCAGATACCACTGTAGAGGGTCACCATAACTCCAATGATTTAATAATTTGGCTTTTCTCACTTATAGATAATGACAAAAATGTAGGACGGAGATTATGATTACAAAAAGAAGAGCAGGGTCAAGAGTCTGTTTTCTCAGCTGTATCATGCCTATTCTGCATTATTCCAATTTCCTAATAAAGAACAAGCGAACTTTTTCTTCAGTTCACTGAAACCTCAGAGATCCATCTCAATATTGTCAAAAGTAAAAAGTTTGTTTTCATTTTGTCATCGCACTAATTGTTAACATAAAGTACCGCCGCTTCATCTGTTTACCCAACACTAAAAATAACTTATGTTTATTAACTCAACGATAGGGGTGATTAATTCCTTGGAATCGAGTAGCTGTACTACAAGTTAATCTATTAAAACTAACATGTAACATGACAGTAATTATTCAAGGGGCACATGAAAGTTTTCAGGTTTTAGTGGATCCGAGAGATTACGTTTCACAGATGGGTTTGCTTTCATTGTTTACTATGATTTCGGTGACTCAAAACATTTCTTTAATCGATTTTGTCCTTGTGTGGATAATAATATTCGAATTTAAATCCCAGATGCTAGGGAAAATCTCCCAACGTTCTGAGATAATAGTTTTAAACTCCTCGGGAAACGACTGCTTCCCTGGCTGATACCACAACAAGGAAAGTACTGAAGATGATTGCATTCGAACGCCGATAGCCTGTTCAGCACTGACAGGGAGTAATACCCTGAACCAGTCTGAAGCTTGATTGATTTCACTGCTGCTGGATCAGCAAGATCTGCAAGATATTCCTCTTGGAGAAAGTTTGTTTAACTGTCTGCCTATTGAGGTATTAGTTAGGAAAATAGTTGTTTTCCCATAGGCATTTGTCAAGTCCCACCGTGTAGAAAGTTTGGTAGACGTAAATGTTTCGAGATTTAATTTATTTAATTTATATGAGATTTTTATTTCAAAATAATGTGTGAATTTTCTTACTCCACAGCTGAAGATGAGAGATTTCTACTGGTTGAAACTATATTGTTGTTTTTTCAATGCGTTTGTTTTTATTCGGTGTGTCTGAATTCAACATTTTATATTTCTCATTATGATAGTTTGTATACTTACCATTTATATTTTGTAATAAGTAATTCGAAATTTAATTATATAATTTGCATCCTGTTTTTGACTGTTACCCTTTCATGGATTTTCAGACATCCTCAAAATATATTAGGAAACATTTTTTTCAAAAAATTATTTCCAAATCAAATCGTAGTGCAAGAATTCGATTGTTTTAAAAGTTAAGTTTAGTTGATAAAAGCCCACGTTTTTTTCACAATAACACTAGTATTTTTCGTTCGTTATTGTCGTACCTATCAAGAAAGTTACGTACAGCGCCATCTGCCCGCGAATAGATCAAGCTATAAGTGATAGTTCCGTACAACGCCATCTGCCTGCCAATAGATCAAGCTATAAGTGATGTTGCGTACAGCGCCATCTGCCCGCGAATGGATTAAGCTATAATTAATAGTTACATACAGCGCCATCTGCTCGCGAATAGATCAAGCTATAAGTAATAGTTACGTACAGCGCCATCTGCCCGCGAAGAGATCAAGAAATATAGAAGAGTTTGCGTAGAGCGTCATCTGCCTGCGAATAGATCAAGTAATAATTGATAAATACGTACAGCGCCATCTGTACGCAAATTGATCAAGAAGTTACGTACTGCGCCATCTGCCCGCGAGTAGATACATACAGGTGAAGCTAATATAAAGCGTGTAAAAAATTGTGTGTAATTCTCAGGGCAAGTTCGGTTCTGGGAAACATTCTAAAACCATGAAAACTGATTAGGGTCACCATCATTCCAAAACTTGGACTCTGCAAAGGCCTTTTTACTAATCAGTCTCAAAGACATTAGTAGAATCACCAGACAGGCATATTGGGGATATAGCACTGGCTACCAGAGCATTACAGATGTATGCCGACGGACACTGCTTTATGCCGGGTCACGAAAAAAGCAGAATATGCTTACAAGAATAAGGAAACGTGAAGAACTGGGAAAACTGGTGGATAGGAATTGATTGACTCACATTAACTGATACGTCAGTTGATAGATCAAGAAGAGTACTTGGATCACGCTATTGAAAATGACTGCAGCAGTTGCAGTTGAAACGTTTGGTGACTATAACCAAAGAAGACCACAGCAGCAAAACCAGGAAACCAACCAAAACATTTTCATCGGTTGTTGGCGTCCAGAGCAAGCGTAGTCATTTACATTTTCTCGAACTTCTGTGAAGAGCTTGTACCACTTGTAAACATTTTTCTGAATTAGAGTACAATCGCTGTATGCCGATGTCAACATTTCAAATGTTTTTGAATACTTAATTCAATTTTTCTTTCACACAAGATTTTTTTATTAATTTTTTTCGATGGCAGAAAATCGCCTAACACGCAAAATACTTCTAACTTTTATGCTTTGCTCCAACAAACTAAACATGCTAAACAGCTGAAACTGTAAACATATGTTCGAAAGGAGTGTACCATCATAAAAAAATCGCTAAATGAATGTAAGTAGCCCGCGAAAAAGGTGGACATCCACCTTTTTTGAACAGTCCGCTACATTTTTGATATTACAAAGTAAGGTAATTGACAACCGATGTCAACTCTTAATGAAAGGAAATAATACAAGACGGTATGATAATAAATTATTGAAACTTTATTGGAAGTAGAATATGTACATAGAAGTATATACGATATTGAAGTTGATCACGATTCATTCACTAATTCATAGAAGTGTGAATGAGAATCAGCCAAGAGAATATCTGGACTATCAAATTCAACTATTCGACCTTGGTCCATAACAAGAACCCGGTCAGAATCCAAAATAGTTTGCATCCGATGGGCTATTGTAATCACAGTACTTTTCCGGAATGCAGTTCGAAGAGTGTGTTGTATCAGTCTGTCAGTTTCTTCATCAACATTCGCTGTCGCTTCATCTATACATAGAATCTGAAAAGAAATGAAAGTCGTGAAACGGCTTTACATTTGGGCAATTACTTTCTAGAGCAGGGGTCTCCAAACTTTGAAGCCTTCGGGCCATAATTTTTTCAGTTTATTCCAAGGGCCAATTTCTGCCCTTAACTATATTTCTAGACTAGGATAGTCGCAAAGTGCGTCGCCTAAGCAAACTTACGCTTTTTTTGCATTTCAGTTATTATTGTGTATTGTGACACTTAACGACTTCTAGTGGCGAGTAGTGGTACTATGTACTATCTTTTTCAGCTACCCGCTAGGTGGCATTAGGCGTGATTAAATATTTGGAATTACCGCGTTGGTTCGAGAAAGTTCTGGTTCTAGCTAGTCTATTCCGATCACCTCGACATGGCAGTAATAATTGCATATAAAAAGGCTAGCGGCGCAACTGCGAATTACCCGAGACTATCCCACCGAATCCTCACAACCGAGAGAAGAATCCTTCGGAATATACATAACCTCCCCTATCGATATCCATTCCTAAACCTATACAACTTCACCAGTACTACACCTATCAACCAACGATTTCAGGAACTTCAAGGATGATATGCGACCAGAACGATAAGCAGCAACAACACCGATGCCATCAACACGCTCACAACGCCTTGGATTCCCCGTGGAGAATCCAGAAGGATACCCAGGAAAAAGCTTCCCTTTCCCCCAGCCAGACTCCTGGGAGCAATGGAAGACCCGCCGGAGCCGATCCAGGATATCCTAGAGGAATTCCCACTGAGAATCAGATAGCGGACAGCGGATAGCAGCGTCCTGGAAAAACCCGAAATACGAAGAGTTTCACCCCCCCCCCCCGCAGCTCCGGCCAAAATACCGTACCCAAAAAGTACCACCACGACCTCTGCAATGGACCCGGACCACCATACGGATCAACGGAAAAAACTATATGAACAAGCGGAACACAAAAACAACACAACACAGACTCCAACACACAACAAAACACACACACCCTGAAGAGGCATTAGCCTATAACAGGGCCCCACACAAACATACCCAACAAATGAAATGTTATTAACCAACAAAATTTGAATAAACGATTTTCATTCATTCAACTGCGAGTTAGTCTGCGTAGGAAAGGCGAAGGAAGCGAAACTTCAGATTAGAGAAAATGATTTACCAAATCATACTGCTGTACGCTGGCTTAGTTGCGGAAAAGTCCTTAAGCGCTTTTTTGAACTTCGAGCAGAGATAGAAATTTTTTTAAATGAGAAGCAGCGCCCTTTTGCCGATTTAGAAAATAGTGAATGGATGTGGAAGTTAGCCTTTTATGTCGATTTGACAAATCATATGAACGAACTGAATTTGAGAGTGCAAGGAGAAAATCAGCTTCTGCCTGATTTATACACCAATATCAAATCCTTCAGGCAGAAAATAATACTATTTCAATCGCAATTGCGTAAAAAATGTTTCACACATTTTGAAACATGTGAAATATTCAGCCACACTACAGAGACTGAATTTTTCGTCAATTTTGCAATCGAAACTTTGAGTGCTTTGAAGATAAATTTTGATACTCGTTTTTCAAATTTTGATGTCATCGCGAAGGAAATTAAGCTTTTTCAAAATCCTTTTGATTCTGACATTGAAACCCTGGTTCCGGAAGTCCAAATGGAAATTATTGATTTACGGTGCAGTGATATGCTTAAGAACAACTATCAAAATTCATCTTTGTTGGAATTTAATAAGAGTCTTCCACTGGAACAATTTGATAATTTGCATAAATTTGCTCGTGGGTTGTTCTACTTACTTGTGTGAGAAAACGTTTTCCAAGATGAAGTACACAAAGAATGTTCACAGATCTCAATTAACCGATGAGCATCTTAAATCTCTTTTGATAATTGGTACAAGTAAAATTGATCCACAACTACAAAGTATTGTCGGCGGAAAATCACAATTACATAAATCTCATTAGCGTTTTTGTTTTACTATGATTCATTTCAATTATTTGTTAGTTATTAATATGCTCAAACTTAGATACTTAAGTTTTCTTTTGTCATCATTTCTGTTGTTAAGTTTTACCTTGCAAGTAAATAAAACCGAGTAATTATCATTCTGTGTTTTCTTCCTCAACTTATCACAGCAATAGTAACAACAATTAGGTAATCATTGGCTGTCGCGGGCCGGATTGATGACACTGGCGGGCCGGATTTGGCCCGCGGGCTGTAGTTTGGAGACCCCTGTTCTAGAGTGTCGGTACAAAATAATAAATACTTCAATATTTTTTCAAGATACCTACTTTGGCATTATGTAATACAGCTCTAGCTAAACAGAGGAGCTGTTTCTGCCCGCTAGAAAAGTTAACCCCTTCTCCGTCAACTTTATGGTCCATACCACCCATTTTCTCAATAGCGTGTAACAGATTGACTTTACCGAGAGCTCCCCACATTTCATTTTCCCTGAATTCTCCCAGAGGGTCCAGATTTTCACCAATCGTTCCGCTGAATAGAAACGGATCTTGAGGTATGCAAAACATTCTTGATCTAAGATAAGAAGAATAATACATTATGACTTAGTTATACAGTATATCAGTATAGACAATTGAGACCTCATTTTACATTATAGTTTACCTTTAGAATGTATCAGGTTCGACAACAGGCTTTTAGATGCCTTCCTATGTTTACACATAAGTAATACACATTATGTAAGGCATGGTTGGTCAAAATGCATAAAAAATCATTATCATGGCTGTAACATGTATCGAGAGAGAGTGTTTTTGTTCTAACGAAGGAAAATTATTTCGTTAGATTCATTCTCAAGACATCACGTAATACAGTTAAGTCACTATTCATGAAATTTTCAGCATGTCATTGAATAATCGGAAATAAAAGTCAATATATAGTTGAATATCATCCGCAGAGGCAAGAATCTTATCTTTTGTTGAAACTGACTGAATAACAATTGTATAAATGATTTTCAGGAAAGCTTCAGAATGAAGTGAGCAATAAAAAATTTTGTGCGGACACAAATAGAATTCAAGAAATGACATTTTAGGGACCTCAAACAGACCTCAATTAAAGTAAAAAATTCAGTATATTTTTCATTGTTTTTATTTTATTATTCGAGTTTATTATGGTAACTATATTGTTCTTGAAAAAATACTGCAACATGTTCTCAATCAGCCAGAGGAAATACAACTAAAGAAACAATTTAAAGTAAAACAACTCTCTGTGAATATTGTCCTTTCATTCAGGATTCTGGAGGATGAAGGTATTGAAATTCTGAAAAAAAAAGACTGACAGTTTTCGAGTTTTTTTCGATTCGGCAACGTCTGAAATTTTACTATCAGTTGAGCAACTTACAAAATGAAATGTTACTAGTTTCATTGCTGTTGAACGCATTTCAGTGGGAACTTCAACGTTGTTATGTTGGATATATAAAATTACCAAAAATGACGCCATTCTCTTCTTAAGGTGAACAGCCTATACGTAACTTAACCTATCTTATGGAGATGGAGTGACATTTTGTGATGTTCGCTCCAACTTCGGAAGAGGAATGAAATACTCTGAAAGAATTTCGATTTTCAATTCTGGAATATCATCGACTTTAGATCGATGATGGTCACTATCTTGCACTGATGAGTGGCTGATGAGCCCGAAACCGGTCTGCAAGTGTGCCCGTTCCAAAATTAAGGGTTGACCCTTTCAGTTGTATTGCCAATTGTATATGCAGGAAATTTTCTGGGAAGATTCCTGCACTGACGCCTGTCGGATATAACCCTTCGTGATATTAGCCAGGGGAGTAGTTGTTTTCTGATAGGCGTCAGTCCATTTAACCTACTGTGTAGGTATATCGAGACTGACTTAAACGTTTGAAGTTCATTTGGTTTAGATTTAACTTAACCTAACCTAACCCAACTTAACCTCACCTAACCCAACTTAACCTAACCTTAAATATAATTACTCATGATCTGGCAACGGGGCTACATACTTTGAATCACCATGATTTGACAAATGGCATGACAATTGTCGGCTTAAACTACACACATCGTAAAAGTCTAGGGATATTTTTAAAAATGACAATAATTTTTTTTTAGATCGCTTTAGGGAAAAAAAAGTTGACGGGTGATTATTAAACGAATGTAACTTACAACAAAATTTATTAAATGGTCAAAAATACTGAGTGCGCTTATAAGCAAAACTAAAAAAAAATATGGCTCTTCTTTGGCACCCCGAAAAAAAATCATAATACAAAAAAAATTGGAATCAGTACAAAGTATGGCCTCCACGTTGGTTTATTACGGCCCTACATCTACCGTGCATCGACAAAATGAGATTGTCAATATTTTGTTGAGGTACATTTGCCCATTCAGCGATTAAAAGCTCTCTCAATTGAAACGTTGTGTGAATGTTCCCCATATGCGGAGTAATTCTTCGTTGAAGCATGTCCCACACATGCTCGATGGGATTCAGGTCCGGTGATTGTGCTGGCCATGGCAATACATCAACTCCTTCGTTGGTGAGCCAGTCAGTCAATAGACGCGCGACATGTGGACGAGCATTATCGCGCATTAGGTGGAAGTTTTCACCAACAGCACCAGCAACCGGACGGACGATAGGTAGAAGAATGGTGTCGAGGTACTGTCGAGCTGTGAGGGAGCGATTTGGAAAAACGAGATCGGTTCTGCCGCCGATCATGATTCCGCCCCTTAGCATTACTGTACCACCTCTGTATGTGTGGACTTCCTGGACGTGTCTCAAACGTTCATTATTTCCAGGTCGTCTCCACAGTCTTACTCGACGAGAATCTGGATGAAATCCAAATCTGGATTCGTCTGTAAACAAAACTGTGGCCCAATCATTTGCATCCCAGTTTTGATGTTCTTGACACCACTCTAATCTTCTACCGCGATTGCCTCTCGACAAAGGTGGACATCTAAGTGGCCTTCTGTTGTGGAGATATGCTTCATGCAGTCGATTTCTGACAGTATCACGACCAATGGTTATCTGGTGCGTCTGCTGCAACACGTTAACCAACTCAGGTGCTGTGATTGTCGGTTGTCTTCTTGCGGTTAAGACCAAAAATCGGTCTTGAACTGCAGTTGTAGCGCGTCCTCGCCCTGGATGTTGTTCGGCTGGACTGCCAGTTTCACGGAAACGCCGCCACAATCGACTGATAACACTTTGGGAGACCCCCAAACGAAGAGCTACATCATTTTGTCGCATGCCACCTTGAAGAAGCCCTACAGCTCTATTCATCTCAGCCAATGGTAAGTGATGGCGTTCTATGTTAAAGCACAATATTTCCAGTTTAATTGCTGAGCAAGAACTGCATAGAATGTACAAACTCGACACTTTCAGATTATTCATTTTAGCCGAAAACCTACAGTTTGTAAAAAACTTGATAAAAGATTAGTTACCGTTTTTGCAGGCTTTGTTCAACCCATAGAAATCTACAGTTTGGTCGAGTGTACCAATTTAATTGAAATTAAACGACCTCATGCATTTATTTTTATGATATTTAGTATGTTATAAAAATATCCCTAGACTTCTCCGATGTGTATATTTGTATTTTCATTTGGATTCCAATTTTTGTAAGTTTTCGTAAGGATAGCATTTTTTAAAGCTTCATTTACACAGTACTATACGAGTATACCAAACATGCGTACTTTTAGCAGCCGAATGGCAGTGTGAGTACAATCCAGAAACAGACTCAATTCATAAAATTTGTTGTGGTCTGTTTCTTACCTACTGAAGCATATATTTCCTTGAAATTGGTTTTATTGCTTTCGCGCAAAAATTTTTCATTGCTAACTTCATTTTAAAGCATTCTGAAGCTATCCTGAAAATTCCATCAAAATCGGCTACTACACTACACTCATTCTACACCTTCACTGGAAAGTATGCTACTCACCTCAAAGATGAAATGAATATTCTTTTAATATCCACACTATCTATACATATGACTCCTGAAGAAATTTCAGTGAGTCGGAATAACGCAGCAACAATTGAACTTTTTCCAGCACCTGTACGTCCTACTACCCCAATTTTTTCACAAGGTCTCGTTTCAAAAGATATTTCTTTCAAAGATGGAACAAGATGGTCCCTGAAATTGAAAATATTGAGAATGACTGTTGATTTCATTTTATTTCCTCATATTTGGTGTCTTATGCTCACTAACATTGAATAAATGCTACAACTACATTCATTTAAAGTAGAACTCATGAGAATGATATCTGATTTTTATTCCATAACGAATATTTGAAATACGAACTGAGTAGAGAAAAGTATCTTCTGTATAATTCAGTGTTCATATAGAAGTTTCGAAAGAATTTTTTTCTTTCGTATAATTCAATGTTTATATGAAAGTAGCTGTTTCAGGAGGATTTTCTTTCAGTTTGTGTCTGAAAGTTATTTCTTTGCATGATCTACACATCCATGTATAGAGTTACTTCCTTCCTTTCTTTGGAAGACTCCCTCATCCTTCTTTTTTTGTATCAAAATGGAGTAGTAGAAAGCCAAAAACTTTCTTTCCCAAAAATTAATCACTCCTAAAAAATATAACCCCTTCAATTCAAATAAGATTCCTCTTGGCTGGGATTAAATTAAATAGGAGAATGAATGTCATTACGATGTCATCGATGACATAAGCAGATCAAGCTTAATCCGTGATATTAAAAAAAAATCGTATTTTATGAATGAAGTGTGTGTATTTTCTATAATGTTATCCAATTTCGTACTGAAGAGCCTTAGAGCAAGTGTCTTAAGGCGAAACATCGGTGTACACCAGTGAGGATGACAGTGTTCCATGTAAGTGCAATTTGTTACCATTCGTTTAAAGTAGAATTCATGTGAATGATATCTGATTTTTATTCCACAACGAATATTTGAAATACGAACTGAGTAGAGAAAAGTATCTTCTGTATAATTCAGTGTTCATATAGAAGTATTTGTTGCGAAATAATTTTTTCTTTCGTATAATTCAATGTTTTTATGAAAGTAGCTGTTTCAGGAGGATTTTCTTTCAGTTACTTCTTTGCATGATCTACACATCCATGTATAGAGTTACTTCCTTCCTTCTTTTGGAACTCCCTCATCCTTCTTTTTTTATATCAAGATGGAGTAGTAGAAAGCCAAAAACTTTCTTTCCCAAAACTTAGAACAGTCTCCCTGATATACAGAATTGTTTTTTATAGCTTGGGATCAGCTTCACTATCTCGGAAATGGTAATACCTACAACATTCGTTAAATTAGACAGCCGCTACACGTCCACCCACTTCGACGAGGAAATTGAAACTTGTCATAGACAGTTGCGATCTGAAAAACTTTCCATCGTGATCAACCTTGTAATTATTACCGTTTCCGAGATAGCAATAGTCGGAACAGCTGAAAAAGTGGCTAGAAAAAAAAAATACTGACTGACCTATACTTCAGAACGACCTTCTTGAAAGCAATCACCCCCTGACTGGGCCAAGCAAATGGGGGATCAATCACGAAATATCCACTTTCTGATACTATTTCATCAATGTACTGATTGACTCGTTCCACGGCTATCATTTCTCGCTCCGTTTCTGTGAAGGAACTAACTACACCACTCAAAGCACCCGTTATAGACAATGCGTAAGATATGGCCAAACCAATTAATCCTGAGGAAGAAAATTTTAAATTAATATTGAATTACACATACTAGATGGGTTAAAAAGTTGGTAGGCTAACACAGAGATGGCGCTATTAGTATTGAAGCCATATGATTTTTAGTCAACCCTAACCTCCAAAGGACACGTGAAGTTGATGGAACAAGCTGAGGCTCTGAAGACATCAGAGGAACGTGTTGGACATATTGTGCATGAATATTTGGGTGTGCTAAAGCTCTGTTCGAAATGGGTGCTGCGCGAACTCATAATCGATCAAAAACAACAAAGTATTGAGGGACTGCCAATAGGATCGCCACTTTCACCAGTCATAGCGAACATATATATGGAGTGGTTTCAAACTCTGGCCGTTGAAGAAGCCCACAAGAAACCTCGAGTGTGGTTGAGATATGTTGACGACACCTTTATAATATGGAACCATGGGAATACTGAAATAGACGCCTTCCTGAAACACATCAACAGCGTGAGACCTTCCATCAATTTCACAATAGAGAAGGAAATCCACAACGAATTGCCATTCTTAGACGTTTTGGTGAAGAGGACCGACACTAAGTGGGAAACATCTGTATACCGAAAACTCAAACTCATACGGGACACTATATGGAAACCCATCATCAAGCGAAAAATGGCCAACTCCCGCCAAACGGTCATCTCCCACGGAACCAGCGAAGCGGATTTTACTATTATTTCATTTCAGGTTTATTTTGCTTAATATAATTGTTATTTTCAGCTATTCATCTTTAATTCTTCTTTTTTAGTTGTTTCAAGGATTTCAAATCATTTTATATATTAGACAATGGAAGTCCGAACTAGTGAAATTCATCATGAAACATTGTCAATCACCTTCAAACAAACATTATTTTTTTCTATGTTAGCCCACGAACTTGCACAGTACATCCAGTTGAGAGGTTTGAGAAATTATGACACTTTGAGGTTTCTGTAATATCATCATCAAAAAAACTGAAACACTAGAAAAATACATGCCTGGATCAGCAATATCATACTGATGCTGAATTACCGCTATGAAGCTCACTCCCATAACTACAGCCACACCTATGAATTGCAATCTCAGTCCAAGCCATCTTGACGCCGCGTGACTGGCAAACTGGGCCTTGATGTTGGCATCAACATTATCTTGATTATCACGCTTGAATCTTTGGCTCGCTCGCATTGCCCGGATTGTTGTGAGTCCTGCATTATTATTATTAAATATATTTATTCATTATAATAAAAGAGTTAACCCATTTACAATACATTTAAAATTACAACAAAGCCATAGTTTGTGCTGTGATTTGGTACTTTGAATAATTCAACATTTTCCGAGTTGTTCTGATTAAGTACAAAATTTCTGAACAAGAAATATCATTATTGACCAGTTCAAAAAGTGTCATTAGGTCGGATCTAACTCTTCGATTTTGTAATATTGGCCTATGTAGAAATGCCAAAATATTCTTTCAGCTATATTCACCAATTTGCAGATTTAATCTATAAGCTTCATGTTTCAGAAATTTGTCTTTAGGTGCTTGGTAATATGGAGCCCACACTACACATGCATACTGCAGAGTTCAACCTGCAGACCACGGCTCAAAAACCCAAAACCAGCGAATGATTTGTTACAAAATTTTTGTCGTAGAATAAAAATTTCGAACAGATAAATTTCTATTTGGAAATCACGAGTATCATGCTCCTCCATATAATCCTAAAATTTTCACGACCATTTGAAAGCTACCAACAGAGGCCATTGGATTAGTGGAAGAGATCTCATCTAGTGGTCTGCACGCTCACCAGATTTTACTCCTCTAGATAATACTTGACCTAATTATGAGGAAGATCTGGAAAACTGAATTGAAGATGTCTTTCCCAAGGGAGAGAACATATGCCCTAATATCACGTAGATTTATTTGTGAATGTCGAATCTCTTCATTACTGTCTTACTACAATGAAGTTTTATTTTATAATCAACTTGCCCCCACAAAACCTTTAGAAAAACATTGATATTGCCAAATTCAGAATAAAGTTGAAACAAAAATGCTTTCTTGATGATGATGGCCACATCATCATCATCATCATTTGATTATTTCCAAAGACATCCCGTATATATATTTAATAATAGATCATGATAAACATTCCAAATGATTAGTTACTTCTCAACATTTCAGAAAGTTTCTGAAATTTCATACTGACAAGGAATGAAACGCATTTTTTTCAATATAACAAAATATATATGTGGAATGGTCAAATATAGTACTTTTCCATTAATTTTGTATGAAGTGAAAACCAAAATGTGATATCAAGATTGTTCAACAATTACCTTGCAACGTTTCGTTGAAGTGACCGTAAACAGGAGATAGAGTGACACTGGATATCCTTTTCAGTTCTCTGGAAGTCAGTCGATAGTGATTCATCAGCCAACTGTACACAGGAATGAGTGGGACCAAAATTAGACATATCCAAGGTAATCCGTAAATCGTTATCACGAGGGAACCTGAAACCGAATCATTGTTACATCAACTTGAACTATTCGTATTGAGGGGTAAAACTGGAATATCTGGCGTAGAATAAATCCAGAAAAAGCACTTTTTCCAAACATTAGAACTGCAATATACTATTTTCCACGTGTGATTCATCAAGCAAGTTGGCGTCTTAAGCAGATGAAGAAAACTAATTTTCAACTCTGAAATTAGACTCTATATCTAACAGGCTACACGTTCACTTCTCAATACATGTGGAATATTACAAAAAAAACGTTGAATGTTTAAATTTCACGGGCTTCCTACATTCGATTAGCGATTTTTTATGTTGCTACATTCGTTTCGCCGAGGGCGGAGTACTAAGGGAGCTGATAGGTTAGGTGGAGTACCAAGGGGGCCGAGGGGCGGAGTTCCACGCTTGAATCGCTACGATACTCGTTCCATCCTGCGTTGATGACGTCACACGTTTCCCCCACTCCTGTTTGAACCAAAAATTGCAAAAAGTTTAGCTCCATAAGAAAATACATGGGATTTCGCGCTCGTTCCCGCCTTGTTCATCTACTAACATATATTTACAGTTTCAACTGTTTAGCACGTTTAGTTTGATGAAAGGCATATAAGTTAGAAGTGTTTTGCGTGTTCCGCGATTTTCTGCTGTCAAAAAAATGAACCCGCTCCTCGTCATTGTTTTTTGGCCAAAAACAACACAGTAATCATGCCTCAGTCACAGTATTTACCAGATTTGGACCCTTGCGACTTTTTCTTGTTCCCAGGATTGGAGAGACCCCTGAAAAGACGGCGTGTATAAAAAATTGAAAGTTTAACCTGTTAGATATAAATAGAGACCAATTTTAGAGTTGAGAGTAAGTTTTCTTCATCTCCCAACTACGCCAACTTGGTTGAAGAATCTCGCATCGAGAAGACGTAATATATAGTCACCGGCCATGACTCAGTCCGGTAGCTGTAACTTACCCAGAAGGCTGAAAAATTGAGCCAGCAGAATGTTTAATATAAATGGCAAGGAGTCATCTACAGTATAAGTATCACTGGAGAATCTGTTCAAAATCCGTCCTGTTGGAGTGATGTCAAAGAAAGTGCATCGAGCCTGAAAAACGATATATAAAAGTTTTACCTTAAAACTGAAAACGAGAAATGGATAGACGGCGTTTTGGTAAAGTTTTTCATTTGGGTATATAATATATGTATATCTTTTTTCTTCACCTCTCTCCAAATTATTTTTTGTTTGTTCATCGTTTCTCAAATTATAACTTTATAGATATAAGCACCTCTATTATTTCTTTGTCTCAACATACTTAGTTAACCCTGTTATTATCAGCATAAAACTCTGCCTCCTGTCTTTCAAACCAGCTAGTAACTGTTTTTTTCAATGTTTCATTATGATCCTCAGGAAATTCCTCAAGTGTTGGAAAAAGATGAAAATCTGTGTCATTGCTTTTCGAGCTTGAAAACTGTGGATTTTTGGAATTTATTCCTGACGTTTCGCTGGCGCGAGTGGCTAGCTTCTTCAGAGGTTTAACCATCATGGCCTGCTGTCCGATGACTACCTTTTAGGCTTCGTAAAGCGTATTTATGCTTTGTCAGGTAATCGGTTGTATTTGTACCTGAATTCGTACCTGGAACATTAACAATCTTGCTGCCTGTTGTCCTGTTCGTTATTCTCGAATTCCTTAAAATGGGGTTCCATATTTGATTGAGGTTCACCGCTTCTTCTTTTCTGTTAAAATTCTCTGTGTGTTTGTGGATCTCTATTGCCTCCCGTACCAGTCTGCTATGGTATCCCTGATTGGAGGCAATTAGTTCTGTGTTTTCAAACAAAATTCTGTGGTCTCCTTCACTCAGTGCGTGGTCTGCCACAGCTGACTTGTTTGTTTGGCCTAGGCTGCAGCTCCTTTTATGCTCTTTCAGTCTTGTTCCCATGGATCGTTTGGTGGTTCCGATATATACCTTTCCACAAGTGCACGGAATGCGATAGACCCCTGCTGCTGATAATGAGTCTCTTTTGTCTTTAGCCGACCTGAGGCTTTGTTGTATCTTCCTCGTGGGTTTGAAGACTGTTTCGATGTCGTGTTTATCTAATAGTTTTCCAATTCTATCCGTCACCCTAAGGATAAACGGTAGATATGCGCGTGCAACCATCTGATCCTTTTTCGCTTTCTGAACCGTGTTGCCTTTCGGTCTCATGGCTCTTCTGGTCTAGGAGGCACTGTATCCATTCGATCTCAAGGTTACTTCCAGGTAATTCAGTTCCCTCTCCAGATGTTCTGGTACAGTGCCTCCGAGACCAGAAGAGCCATGAGACCAAAGGGCAACACGGTTCAGAAAGTGAAAAAGGATCAGATGGTTGCACGCGCATATCTACCGTTTGTCCCTAGGGTCACGGATAGAATTGGAAAACTATTGGGCAAACACGACATCGAAACAGTCTTCAAACCCACGAGGAAGATATAACAAAGCCTCAGGTCGTCTAAAGACAAAAGAGACCCATTATCAGCAGCAGGGGTCTATCGCATTTTGTGCACTTGTGGAAAGGTATATATCGGAACCACCTAACGATCCATGGGAACAAGACTGAAAGAGCATAAAAGGAGCTGCAGCCTAGGCCAAACAAACAAGTCAGCTGTGGCAGACCACGCACTGAGTGAAGAAGACCACAAAATTTTGTTTGAAAACACAGAACTAATTGCCTCCAATTAGGGATACCATAGCCGACTGGTACGGGAGGCAATAGAGATCCACAAACACACGGATAATTTTAACAGAAAAAAAGAAGTGGTGAACCTCAATCAAATATGAAACCCCATTTTAAGGAATTCGAGAATAACGAAAAGGAAAACAGGCAGCAAGATTGTTAATGTTCCAGGTTCAAGTGCAGGTACAAATGCAGGTACAAATACAACCGATTACCTGTCAAGGCAACAATACGCTTTACGAAGCCTAAAAGGTAGTCATAGGACAGCAGGCCATGATGGTTAAACCTCTGAAGAAGCTAGCCACTCGCACCAGCGAAACGTCAGGAAGAAATTCCAAAAATCCACAGCTTACAAACTCGAAAATCAATGACACTGAAAACCTCAGCCGTGAAAGTCTAAACCATTTTGTCAGATGAAAATCTGATGAAGCTAAATCAGGGTTATATGTTGGAGGATCCAGTAATTCCAAAGAAACTTCACCAAATGCGTCTTTGTTTTTGCAAAAACATGAGTCCAAGAGTTGTTGTGAAGCAGAACAACGCCGCTAGAGAGCAGTCCTAGCTGGCGATTTTGAATAGCCCACTTTACGATCGTCGGAATTATTTATTATTGCAACAATAAAATATTTTGCTCACCTTCATTACTGATTTCAACAACAGCTTGTGAAACTTTTCGGCAGCCACCACCCCTCCATAAGCAAAAATGAACGATCGAATTAAAGTGAATAACGTGTTGACACAAGCAAATTCAACATATACTTTCAAATACGAATTCATGTCGTGATCTGCCATAACACTGCTGGTAAATAGTAAGGTATCTTGTTGATCAACCTGAAGGCCCGAATAAGTTGTATTGGTTGAATTTGTGGAATTATTACCAGCATTTGTAACCCATCGAGCCAGCCACCTGAAAAAGTAATACATAAAATTGGTAGTTGGCGAAATACAGATACAGAATTTCTGTTAAAGCTATTTTTCGGGTTTGTTAGCCATGGCCTGCAGGTTTTACCTGACGTTTCGTCTACAACTGTGGCATACACTATCAAAGCAACAAACGAAATGCTCTATAGTTGATTTTCAAAAGCAGTGCAGTAGTAAAAGTTCATTATCCATGCAAAAATCTTACAGGATACATTGCGACGTCGAGGTAATGAAGGAGATGACATCTCCCTTAAGTAATACGTCATCTATGGGATCGACAGAGAATTCAATCCTCGAATATCAAAGATAAACTCTCCAAGGCGGTCAGTTGCAAAGCCAAGCTTCGACATCAACCGCCGATGAGATTCGTTCCTTGTATTTCACTGCAGCTTTCACTGCAAGGCAACACGTTGAAAACCAGAGACTATTCACAAACGCACTCATGATTCAAAACCAGTCAGCGTTGTCATAGGTCTCGTCAGTCTGGCATCACTGACGAGACCTATGACTGGTCGAAACAGGGCTGCCTGTTGTGGAATCATAAATGTGTTGTGCTTGGGCTCTGGCATTCTCTCTTGGATTGTATTTCCCGTCCACCCTCTCTTTTGATTGATAGAACTCAGAGGTATTATCCAAGACTATCTAAGGAGGTGATAGAAATTCAGAGTCACAGAGACAACCGAAAGGAAAAGTGAATTAACATAAATGAAGTCTGGCTACCTCCACTGAATTGTGCAAGTATGAGGCCAATTAGAAACGGAGCCACGCCCATTGTCGATGGAGAAAACCGGAGATCCTCACCATGAAGTATGTAGAATGTGTGGAACCTTTTTTCTTCGATAATGTCTGCAGTAGTAGACTAAACTTTAGACGCGAAACCTGCAGATCACGGCCAACAGACCCAGGAAATAGCTGTCTCACAATTGGCTTCGATTTGAAAGTGTTCTTTGATCAATTGCAAATAGAGAATCATTTGCGCTGTAATCAAAAGAGTTCAAAATCCTAGACGGAGAATTTGTTCCTTGCGGAGATGTTCCAGCATTGCAGAGAACTTCTTAAGAAACGTTAACATAAGTGCATGTTTAAAAATGGCAATAAACATTAGATTTGAGTCGATGATTTTTCATAAAAAATAATTTTAGTATAACCTTGGAAAGTGGTAAAATAGCCTAATTTCTGAATGAAATTTCAGAGCAATCACCGTGTATATCTCTTATATAACTCACCAGTCAGTCATATTCCTAGAAACTTGCATCAAAGTAATGGATACAAGAATGAGACAGCTGATCAAATGTCCAATTCCTTTCCAGTAAGACGCAAAAACTTTAAATTCCAAACTTCCCTTCTCACTGAATTCTTCCTGTAAAATGCTGTCCCTATCTTCGGTATTTCCCTGAGTTAAAAATTTTCCACTATCCCTGAATGAATTCGATATCGAAAAGGAACTGGATTGAATACTGTCTTCCAATTCCAAATCAATTGGTAGAGTGTCATCGATCTTACCCAAGACATCAGCCGGCTTTCCTAAAATTCATATTTTATAAATGTCATGCAAACACCAAAATGTAGCTGGTAAATTTTAATTTTTTTGATTCTAAAGCCTTATCCATTTTAAAATGGGAGTTTCCAAAGATAAATGAGCGTCTCAAAGGCAGTCTGCTACAATACTAAGCTTTGACATTGACATTCAAATGAGAAATCGCTTTCTGAATCTTGCTGCAGCTTTCACTTCAAAAAGGGCGACTAGATGATGTCAGAGCATTGCATTCAAAATTGCCATAGCAACCTGCCAGATATCTTATCAGTGATACCAGGTCGGATAATGAATATTGTTGTTGCTGTTATCATGTAATGTGTTAGGAATCACACGTTAAAAGGTAAGACCTCGTTAGTCCTTAGCTCGCACAAGTTTCTCAACTTCTGAGAGTTGTCGTTCGTATGGGGGCGGCAGCTGATTAACGGAAAAACAGATTTTATAACAGATTTTAAAACAGATTTTAATGAAACGAAAAAATGGAGTATATAAGCCAAAATATGGACTTTTCAATCTCGTTCGACAGTCGCCTACTAAGTTTTTGTCTAATATGCTTCCAAATTGATTTTATCTTTACAGCAACAGGCTGAAACAGCTGTCTATCGGTGGTTCTTAGACTGAAATCAAATTGGGAATGATCAGAATAGTACTCATCTACTTATCTTTCGATTTTCATGGAATTATTTTCCAATGTACTTTCAAAATTCAGACCCATGTTTTGATAAGTAGAAAACACCAGAACTATATTACGATTCCAAAATAGAAGGCACTGAATTCTCAAAAATGACTGACGTTTTTGCCTAAATCTGTCTCTTACAGTGGCGTACTGAAATTATACTAAACAGATGACGAAAAATGATGATAAAATATATACAGTGTCACCGATAAAGTCCGCATCAAATGGGAAACTTTTTTATTTATCGTTTTATGTGAAATTTGATTTTGGCAGTAGATTTTGCTTAAGAAATGATGTCAAATGGCATCTACAAAATAGGTCACGTGATTTCCTTAACCTGTCAAAATTGACATTTAAAAAAAGAAACATCGAAAAATGACATTATTCTCCAAAATATCCAAAAATATCAAAGGATAAAAACATTTTCTTTTGTAATTTTATACCCACACACC